TCTTAAAGAAATTATTTTATGATTGCAAATATAGAAATAGTAATTTCACCATCAGTTTTCAAAAGGTTTATGTATTTTACTTGAGAGTCAGAATTGCAAAGAGAGGGAGAGTCAGAACGAGAGATCCTCTAACGGGTGGTTCACTCCCCATGGCCCCAACAGCCAGAGTTGGACTGTTCCAAAGCTTGGAATTAGGAGCTGCTCCTGGGTCTCCCACAGTGGTGCAGAGGCTCAAGGAAGTGTGTGAGTTATTCCCTGCAGCTTTCCCAGGCCATTAGCAGGGAGGTTACTACCACCTTTTAGGAATAGAAGTAAAAGATTCTACAGGCTAAATGTTGCTAATCTAAATATGCAAAATCTGGATATCACAAAATCTAAAACTTTTTAAGCACTAACATAATGCCACGAGTGGAATATTGTGTAACTGACTTACTGTGATGTAAAACAGTCAAAATACAAGCATACTCAAATACAATACGAATTACTAAATAAATGTAATGTTTAAACTTAGGTCCTACCCCTAAGAGTTTTCAGTACCTATATACATATTCCAAAATTTTAAAAACACAAAGCAGTTTATATAAAGGGCATTGGACTGTTAGTAAGCTTAATTATGCCCTTATCCATGATCTTGTATCTATTTGATTTACCAAATAAGAGTAAGTCTAGAATAAAGGAATTTAGGTAAAGGCTATTTTACTTAACATAACTATTTAAGTAGGTTAGTGTTAATTAACATGGGCTTAGATTTGGAACAGGAAATCTCCAAAACAGAAGCGACACTTGACAAATTTATGAAACTATTTGATAGTTTAAAAGGAGGTAGTGTGCTGGTAGTTTAGAAGTGTGAAAGACAGCCAGTGTTGTTGCATAGCAGGGTATAAGCCACAGCTTGCAACACTGACATCTTGTACTGGAGTGCCAATTTGGGCCTCGGCTGCTCAGGTTTCTATCCAGTTACCTACTAATACACCTGAGGAGACAGTGGGCCACCCACCCATAGGGAAACCTGGATGAAGATCCAGGCTCTGGGTCAGCCTAGCCCAGGCCTGGCTCATCTGGGTATTTTGAGAGTGAAGCAGATCAAGGAAGATCTGGTCTTCCTTCTGTGTCACGAATAAGTAAGTCAGACTTCAAAACGTGAAAGAGATTTAGATAAATATGACTACTGTCTTTCAGAAATTTTCTACTTCTTATTAATATAAAGAGAATACTTATGATATATTTATTGGTATCATAAGTACAATTCTTATTTGTATCATAAGTTCAATTCCAAAAAGATAATCACACTCCTCACTCCCCTGCCCCCAGCCCGCAGTCCTGCCTTCTCTCTCTTCATCGAGTTTCCTAAGACATAATTTTAATGCATTGCATATTTGGATTTATTTTTCATTTGCCACAGATCATAACTTTGAACAAATAAAAAGTAAAAAGACCCCAATGAGAGTTATATACCAAAGTGACCATTTCACAGATTTTCTTACTTGTTCTTTCCATTTAGACTTCTCCATACTCTTTGTGCCATTTTTTTGTCAACATATTTAAGATTTTATCATGCTGTCATGTTTACACACACATTTTGCTCCATCTGTGAATGTTTTAACGACTGTGTGTCTCTCTAGCTTCCAGTAGAGGACTGGGCCTCTCAATAGGCACTCTCAAATCTAGTTAATCATAAATTAAATGGAGGGGAATGAGCATTTCTAACCGTGAGAAACGGATTTGAGTTGGTCATACAGATGTTACACAAAATAATTTATGTGCTGTTTTAAGATTCAGTTGTTAGCTTTACACCCCTAAGTTCTTTAGAACTAAGGGTATGTGTTTATGTAAGTGTATTATCAGGCTACATTAATAAAAAAAAAATCCACATTTGTAATTAAAGTTTGCGGTTTATCATTGCATATCATTGTTGAACAATGCAGAGATTTTTCCTTTGGTAAAAATCATATGCCTATATCTAAAAAATGCACAGAAAGTCCATCTTGCTTTGTTTTCCTTCTCCCTTTTTTCCACAGCAGTATTGAGTCTTTCACCATCTCTAAGCCCCCACATTGGTGTCTCCTTTCTTCTTCACTCTAGCCTAAATGTAAACTGTAAATATGCTACTTGCTTTACAATATTATGCAAATGAATAGCTTTTTCTTTTTGTTCCACCTCCTTTCCAGAAGGTCTGTTTCCTGCATAGGGTCATATTACATTAATAATTGTACAGATAGATATAAACACAGCCTCTTTAATTTTTCAGAGATAAATGCCAGTGTAAGTCCAGAAGTGATTTCATGTCCTGGTATCCAAAGTACAATTTGATAACCTATTTCATCACTAGTCACTATACATATTTCTGTTTATTAAATTAAGAATTTAATGACTGCATTTTTATTTCTTTTAATTTCTTAATATCTGTAATCTTATACAGAATTGTCTGTTGCCCAAGGTTAGGAAATATATTACATTTCAAATACTAAGATATGAGCAAATCGCGATACACCTTTATTTAATATGTATGTGGGTGGACAAATAAGACTTAGCAGCAAACTTTTGTGACCTATGTCAGTATGAGATAAAATTACATTTATGATTGATAGGTATTTTATCTAATAGTATTTCAAATAATTAAAAGCAAATTCCAGAAAGTAGTACTAACCACATAAAAACATCTTTACTATTGAGATAGTTGATATGACATGGTGCCATTCTTTAATTTGCAAAGACACAGACCTTACAGATGATGTTTACTTTTAGGAAAAGCTAATATATTTCAGAGGTATATGTTGTTTCAGAATGTTTGAAAAGTAGAAAGAAAGAAAACTTAGTAAAGAGAAAGACAAACTTGTGAAGACAAGCTCTTGTCTGGGAATGTCAGCACGAGGCCCACATTGGTATATTGTCTTAACCACCAGTCCTCACTTAAAAAAAATCCATAAACATAATAAACAGAATTTGAAAATTATGTATAACATAGCAGAAATTAATGTATTATCTTCATGCATTTTATAAAGCTTAGGATGTTCTTGTAGAGATGCTATAAAATGATAAATTCTAATATTTATTATCAACAACCTGTAGGATTTCCTCCAATATGAACTTTTCCTGTTTACTTTTGTTCCTGGGTTATCATCATGTGAATCAGCAGTAATATTACAGCATCATATAATGCTAGATATTTTTATATTTTTACATTGTTGAATTATTAATACATTTTCCATAACATTACATGAAGGTACTATACGTTGCCAGCTCATAAATGTTTTCAAGAGCATTTTATCATGAGTATGATTTTTAGAAAAAAATGCTTATTTAAAAACATAACCATATGTAATACTGAGAGACATATATCCTTAAATTTCTCAATATTTTTGTGCATGAAACAGGATTGATTCAGATTTTTTATTATGATTGGCATAGTGAACCATCATGATTTCACTTTCCACTTATTAGTTTTCCAAATAACTTTCTAGAAAAAAGAAGTCTGGACAAAACACATGTTAAAAAGTACTGCTCCATCTAATTCTTAATGTACAATGCAAATTAGAGGGTATAAGGAATATGTTTGACATCCATAACAAATATTTCCAAAAAATATATTTCCATAAAATTAGATGATTATAAAACATATTGCAGCAAAATAAAATTTTACCATGATTACAAATTATATGCAGGAAGAAAATAGAGAAGTTTGCACGTGTGTGTGTGCAAACAAGCAAGAGGCGACCTCATCAGAATTTGCATTATACTTCCCTGTTTGCTACCATTTCCAAGTGCAAAGTTGTAGAAAATGCATGGCTATATTACTAAAAATAAAACTTTACTCAGGTTTAACCTTTAAAAATAAAGTGCCAAGTCTGCTAAAATTAACTAATGAGTCTACTCAAATTTCAATAAGTTCTCTCCACCTGCCCACTTTATTATATGGAAAAAGAAAGGAGTTGACTTCAGTGCTTTGTCAGTGACACAACAATCCCAAGTATTGAGGTAGAACCTCATCGTATGTACCTGCATGCTACCAAAACAAAATGCCAAGTTCTAGTAACTCTGCTTTAATCTGGGAAAGTCATAGAAAATTCCATATTGACTTTATCCGAATCTACTGTGTTTGTGCTTGAATGTTTCACAACAAATAAATAAACACACCTCTCCTTCAAATGTTTACCCTGGTTTCTTGTAGTAGGCCATATGACTGCAGGAATTCTTCAGTGTCTTTTGTTAATAGAGTATCCCTGTTTTTTAAAAAGTGAATTATGTGCCTAATCAATAATACTAATTTCGCAATTGTAGCTAGATAATCTAGGTAGTATAATTCTCAAATAGCTGTAACATACACAAAGCCATTGGAAATTCTAAAATTACTAATTATTTGGAAATCCCGTTTATTTTTTTAAAATTTAAAGTGTCAGTGTGGTAGATAAATTAAATGTTATTAATCATTTTATTGGTCTTCATCTCAAAAACAATCATGAAAATATATTTGTGAATAATAAATACCAATTATTAGATGAAAAGGAACATGAAATTAATGTTTTGAAGGCACTTAAGGTAAAAATTTTCTACTGTTATCTATTACATTTGCATTATAATCCTGCATTCTTTGTTTTTATGGGTTTTGAGGAAAAGTGTTTTTTTAAAGCTTTAGTAGGTGAAGAGTAATTAACCGCCTTGTGATTTTGGAGCTATATAACAATGTTAACAAGTGGTGTATAATTATGCTTCCTTTTTTAACATGCTAACTTCTTATTTTTTACTGCTAACTGCACAGAGACCTAAACATTTTTGTTTAATAATTTAGATCTGAAAATTGCTTTTACCTTTGGAAATTTTAAATTTAAAGACAACTGAATTAAACTATGATAAAAGCCACTTTTAGTTGTGATATTTGTCTTTCATAATTATGTTTAAGCTAGTTTTCAATTTGTTGTTTTGCTTTTTCTAGGATAGCAAAGTAATATAATGTGTATGCGCAAAGCGGAAGTATTATTTATACGTATTTTTTTTAATTACAG